TGGAAACTTAAACGTAAATATGATTGACATTAAAACTTGTTGATTTATTTGCACGATTGAGGAATCTTTTTCTGTCCACATTTGCATAAAAAAGATGAACTTCAAATGAATTTTTCTCTCTCTTTGTTTCACGACGTTCCTGAGTCTGGATAGACGTAGCGCTGATTCGCAGTCTGCTTTGATTATGTCGACGGAACAGCCAAAGCGTCCTCGCCCTGTTTACCATAAAAGAAAAAGACGCCTCAACGGGCAACCATCCTATCCTTTTGGGGGTGCCCATCGAGTAAGCGTACCGTTGAGCCCCTAAACGCAAAAACTCTTTTGTTTCACGATGTGGTTTAGGTATATCCACATGCGCTCAACGTTCAAGGGTCCCTTAAATAAACAGATTCTCTATTTGTGTCAATAGCCTTATAGAACCTATCCTTTAGGACTGTATGCACCAAATAATGCCGAATTTATTCTCATTTGAAACGGATTATGAAATTTCTGTTGTGACGCATTCGAACAATAATTCTCAAACACTACATATAACACAAAAAGGGTATACAAAAACATTCTTTTTTAAGTCTCGAGGTGGGCACAGTTGGACAATATAAACGATTTTCTACCCCATCATTATAGTTACCGCTCTTCTGATACCACACAATCCACCATACTTGTAGGATCCCTAATTACGACTACCATCGTTCTACGATCACTTACAGTACCCACCTGTTCAAGTGCCGCGACGTGTAGTGCCAGCTGCCACAACACCTTATCAGTGCCTATCACCAATTCATCAACTTCAAGCTAAACAATGGCATCACTAGCCTGACATCCAAACAACTTATGGAAGCAATTAGAAGTCAGAAAATGCAAGCTAGAGGATGAATGAAAAGGGCAATTGAGCTGCGCCAAAGAGGACCCGGGACGCTTATCAAGCTTGACTGGTAAATGGTAAATTGATAAAGGGGCCTCGGTTGGAGGACAAGGGTCCTCTGCCCAGCTCTAAGCCAAAAAGCACCATTATTCGGCTCTCACCTAATGCTGCACAATCATCTTCAAACCATAACTTGGATGACATACCCGCCAAAACTGCATCTGAGCTCAAAGCTCAGAAAATGAGAGAAAGCTAGAACTCTTAGAAAGATCTGTTACTGCCCTTAAAACACACAAAGAGGTGGTAGACATGGACTCTTTGTCCTTGTTCCCCGAAGCAAGATTACCTACAAAATTCAACATGCCCAACATGGACAAATTTGATGGAACCACTTGTCCTAAAACGCATCAGAAAATCTATGTGGGTGCCCTGAACCCGTTTGGACTGAACAACGAGCTCCTTGCTCAGTTGTTCCAACAATCACTCACCGGTGCTGCTTTGAGGTGAGGTGGTTTATGTTAGCCCTAGTTTCAGGTGCGAGGGGTGAGTCAGTAGATAATGACCTGAGAGGAAGAACAAAATACCTGTAATGCATTTTAATTTCCAGGACAAGAGCTATACCATATGAGGTGGATGTTACTCGAGTAAGAGAGTTGTGAAACCATCACCTGGGATTTGGGACAAACAGAAAAACATTGAGCGTGTGTTCCTCGTTATTTAACGAGGTGGGGCCAGGCCGCTCAAATGATCAAACGGACCCTCTGATAGGAACAATTTGAACATAAGGAGATGAGAATTATTACTGCTATATTCTACCGTGCACCACCTTCAAAAAACCACAATACTACCAAACACTCTCAGTCGCACTCACTCTCGCACTCGCTACGAAAGGTAGAGGATTTATTCAAATGGTGGGGCAACTGAAGGAAGATCGGGAACCTCAAAATACACCCACACACACTACCAGCCCGAAAAAGTCACGAAGTGGCAAAGCCATCAACCCCAGAATCCTTTACCGTGTGGGAAAATAGGAAACATGAAGAAATGGGCTAGTCAAGAAGAACTATTACTGATCTGGCCTGAACCATCCTTTGGTATTCTGAGAGGCTGTCAAAAGAAACTTACATCAAGCCTTTGGAAAGCAAGGCCACCACCCACGCCCTTAACCAAGGAATATCGAGCCAATGATACTAATGAAGTTCCATCAGGGTATGGACACTCTAAGACTGAAGCGTGTTGGACGCTTAAAGAACGCAATCCAAGATCTCTAGTAGAACAACGGTCTTATTATTTCAAGAGGAAATTAGCACTAATCCCTTACCAAATCACAGGGTAAATGCTATTGTTCCTGACCAGGAATTGATCGATCCTTTCGAGCTATTCCTAGAAAAGAACGAAATCTATGTCCTAGATCTAAATGACCTGACTGAGGAGCTCGATGCCATAACCAGGAGCGGGAGACAATATGAACCATTGGTCTTGGACGAAGTCCGAAATAAGCCTTACCAGAGGACAGACGAACCAAAGGAAGACCCTATACTTTCGCAGTTAAAGAAGACACAAGCTAGGGTATCGATTTGGAAACTTCTAGCATCATCCATTCCTCATCGCCAAGCTCTTTGCAAGGCTTTGAGTCAACTTCAAACGTCGGTGGAGGTTAGCCCCGAAGTGTTGGTATCCACCCTTACCCAATCATCAAAGAAGTTAGCCCCGAAGTGAATAATTAAACAAGGTGGCGACTCATACATTCACGTGCATTTCTGTCCTTAGTCACATGCATTCATATGCCGGGTGATATTTTGGGGAGGGGTTCACAATGCCCTTTACATTACTGTTCAGACCAAAGACAAAACTGTGCCCATGGTTCTCATTGATAATGGGTCAGCACTAAACGTCTGTCCATTGAAGGTAGCCAGCTGTATGGGTTTGGAGGAAACAGATTTTATTCCATCTGACCAGATAGTGAAAGCGTATGACAGCACCCGAAGGGAAGTATTAGGAGTTGCTACACTAAAATTAGCAATCGGGCCATCCATAATGGAAGTACCATTCCAAGTAATTGACGTGCCCACCAGTTTCAACCTGCTTTTATAGTAATTGACGTGCCCCACCAGTTTCACTGCTTTGGGAGGGTACGCCCAATGGATAGCACCATAAAATCAGTAAATTCCTCTACTTTTACACCAAAAGGTTCAAATTCCCGCTAAGCGAGGGTAAAATCATAAACAGTTCAAGGAGATGACTATTACAAGCCAGCTCAAAAGCCAAAGGGGGTTCCAGCCTCTCTTTGCGTCAAAAAACCGCTGAAATGGCCAATTTCCCTCTGGGAGTGGGGTTTATCAATATGACACTGTGGGGCCAGTTTCATAGAAGGAAAGACTTACAAACTGGTCGAATTCTCTTCTTCGACCTTTTGCGCCGACGGTGCAATAACCTGCATAGTTTCCTTTGCCACTCGCTTCGAGCGACTCGTCTTAACTTCCTGCGGGAATGGCTAAGACGAGGTTCCGGAAGAGACATGCCCGCACTGCAAGCCTGGGATGTCAGTAAAATGAAGGGACTTTTGGGCTAGGATATCATCAGCCACCACTGAGCGGGAAGACCTGGCACTAGCGAGGACCAGGAACAAAAGGTAGAAAGATTGCCAAAATATGCCATCAATTTCCGGCGTATATCCCCACACCTTTTGACAGTTTGAATAGCCACTTTCACGTCGCGCAAATCGGGAGAGACGGTTCCTTTAATCACGGGCGTTCCAAGAGCCATTTTACTGCCGATTAATGCTAAGAAGATGCTGCGGGTTTAGAAGATATTTTTTTCCGCCGTCCCCTGATGTCCTGGGGTAAACAAGCCTGAAGCAATAGCTCTGAGCTGGAAAGTGGGAAGATTGCCAATAGGCTGCTGAGTTCTTGACCGAGGTTGAGGTCATTACAGGAAATGAAGAAAAATCAAGACCTGCGAGCCTAATACAAACCGAATGAAGGGCCTCTACCAACGTTGGACCGGGCTGAGGAGCTGGGACTGGGGAGCCGCGCTGCTTGACTAGAACCGGCAGCCCCTCCGAGTTTGAACCTAGAGTCAGAAATTTGTAATTAAGTTTCGTAAACTGGGAGTCTGAGTCTGAAGTGGGCCGTAGAGTTCTGAACCGAGATACAGAGTCAATGAAGTACGACCTAGTTTTCTTCGGTCGGGTGTGTCGGAATTTTGAATCACAGATTTCAAATTTGATGTAATCTTTAAAGACTGATTTCGTCTGATCAATAAAAAGGCAGATAAGTGGGCGGGAATACGTCAGTGTGGGAGCGGGCGGGACGGGGAGGGGGAGTCTTGCAAATTTATTGACTAAACCCCCGATGTCTATCTTTCAAGCATTTCCAGCAAATAATGAAATCAAATGAAATGAAATGAAAAATGAAAAGAAAAATAATAATTGGCAAAGAATAAACGAATACACATACATTGCATTTGGACTGTGGTGAACAAGGGAAGGGCTCAGAATCAAGTGAATGCTTAAACGAAGTTTCGCCGAATTGCTCATGTGGAAGGCGAGTGACATCACGGGAAATTGAACCCGACAATAGGTGGTACACAAGATTTCCCAGTATCTCGAGGCTAGCCAAGTGAAAAGAAGCTAAGAAGGCCTGAAGACCGGAATGGTCTTGAAGAATTCAATGAGGAAGTGGGCCAAGCAAACTAGAAAATAAATTCATAGAATCCCATTGGCCTACCCGACGTGGTTAGCAACAATTGTGGGCCAAGTGCCGAAAAAAGATGGCAAAGTCAGAATGTGTGTAAACTATCAGGACTGAAATAAAGCATGTGTCCCGAAAAGTTGCTTCCCCCTGCCAGCCCGCAAAATTTGAGTTGTTTGGTAAGAAACCGATGGCGGACACGAGAATGGTCTCCTCTTGACTGCATCTTGCTGTCGGTACAAAAAGAATAATGATGCATTTGCCAGAACCAAAGAAAGCATAAAGAGAACGTGTGGCATTCATCACAAATGGGAAACCTACTGCTTATGGCGTATGCCTTTTGGCTCACACAAGAAATGCCCGGGGCAACTTATCAAAGAATGGCAACGCCATTCTTCCATGACATGATCACAAGGAAGTGAAGTGTAGAAGTGTATGTCGACGATATGGTCATTAAGTCAAAAATAGCTGACGAACACACAACCGCACTTGAGAAGTTCTTCCTTAGACTTCGAAAGTACAATTTGAAGCTCAACCCGGCAAAATGCCTGTTTGGAGCTACATACGGAGTATTTCTAGGGCATATGGTCAGCCAGAAGGGCATAGAGATTGACCCTTCAAAATCCAAAGCCATTTTGGGAATGCCAGTACCAAGGACGGAAAAAGAAGTTCGGGGTTTCCTGGGAAGGCTACAGTACAAAGAAGTTCGGGGTTTCCTGGGGAGGCTACAGTACATCAGCCGATTCATCAATCAATTGGCCGATACTTGCGGCCCGATTTTCAAATTGCTCAAAAAAGGAGTGGCCGTCAAATGGAATGAGGATTGTCAGAAAGCTTTTGACCAAGTCAAACAGTATCTGTTATCCCCGCCAATTTTACAGCCACCAAGGCTAGGAAAGCCTTTGCGGTTGTACCTATCAGTGACAGAAGAAGCGATGGGTGCGATGCTAGCTCAACAAGCAGAAGATACAAGGGTAGAGAATGCCGTGTATTACCTCAGCAAAAGGATGCTAGACTACGAGTTGAAATACAATAAGATAGACGACAACAAGAGGCATGCTAAAAAGAAAAAATACTACGAGTTGAAATACAAAATAAGATAGAGAAGCTGTGAGTCTTGGCTCTAAAGACTAAGACAGTCTAACAGAGATGATATGATGTATGAGGCCTGGTACAAAAGCTACAGCAGGTACCTCTCAACATCCTTTACAAAACCACAAGCAGTATTTTCTGGAATCGAACCCTTGAAATTCCATTATGGAGAGGCCGTTCTTGAAACTGTAAGATGGCAAAGTGGGTGATCGTGCTCGCAGCTTATGATTTGAAATTTGTACAACGGACAGGTCAGTGAAAGGCAAGGGAGCCTTTTGGAGTACTGGTTGAGGTTGATGTTTCGCGTGTGCTGTGTAGAGGTACCGGGGGGGAGGGAGGAGAAGAGTGGGGCTGATCAACTAGCAGAGATTACGGTCGAAGCTAGACCAAAGGGTGACAAGCAATGGCCGGAGGTAGAAGAAGCATTTCCTGATCGAACGATTGGTGAACCTGGAAGTGAAGTTCTTGTGGCAAACGTAACTTCGATGGGAGCTTCGAACTATCCATGGAATTGGTGTTGGAGTCGTAATTCATCAAACACTCTTGTGGAGAATACGTCCGAGAGCGGAAAGTTGATAATAGCGATGCGCATTGCGTCAAATTAGATTTCGAACTGCACCAACATGGAAGCCGATATGGAAGCTTGCATAAGGGGGTTAGAAAAAGCCGCCGCTAGAAAAAGAGATAAACTGGTCCTCAAGGTTT